AATCTGGATTGCAAAATTATTATGCAAAATCTATCGAACCGATTTTGATGAAATTTGGTGTGATGATTCTACATAACATGAAGTTTTCTTGAGCCAAGTATAAAGGTCCTACACCCAATTTAAATACACCAAAAAAATTCCCTAAAAAGTATTGTTTTTTAACCCCATTTTTGTGATTTTTTCGATTTTTACCATAATAATCATGATTCATTCGATTTGTAACCAGTCATGTATTGTAAAAAATATATATACAAACATTTTTTTCCTCTTCCATTTTCGCCTAAAATCAACTCTTGAAAAGATACATAATTAAATAGGAAGAAAAATATGACATTTTTCCAATTTTTTTAACATATTGTGCCGTCAAAAGTTAAGTCCACGTTTTTTTTAATGCGCATAGAAAAATTTTCATTTCTAGTGATATTTGAAAGCCAAAAAGCCAAAAATCTCCGTGGATACACGATTCACCCAAATATGGCGTTTTGAAACAGATATCGTCTGGACTAGTTGAAGAATGTGTCACATCTAGTGGATTTAGCTGTCAGGTAAAACTTTAAAATCGATTATCTCCGTAATTTATGAACGTTGCGTCGAACTACTTCGAAAAATTCTTATTCAAGGTCCAAACTACACGTACCATAAATATCAAAAATTACAAAAATCCGATTACCTTACCTGTTAGATTTAATGTCTATCTCAAGACGTAAATTATCAATGCTAATACGGAGAAGAGTTTGTAAAAATAACAAAATCTGTTTTTTTATTGTTAAATGGATAATATTGAATATCTGACCGTAGTTTTCTATTTGGATCTACTTTTAATAACGATTGTCGATATTTTAAAAAATAAAGGTACTTTACTCGTGAGCAAAATTTACATTTTTCGACAAACCTCGTATACTACTGCAAAAAATTGAAATCTGATTATTTCATTTTGGGTTTTGGCCAAGAACTCTTCATCAAGAATAACTTTTTTTTCATAAAACCAAAAAAGAGAAGGAGCGTTAAATTGGGTTCCGCAGGATGTCGGTTATTCAATTTTGTATTGCGATGAAATTTATTTGTACAATTGCAGTACAATAATTGTATTAATTCTAAATTGACACAATTATTGAAGTAAAAATTGTAACGTTAGTGGCTCGTTTAAATCAATCTAAATACGTCCACTGTAAAATCATCCTAGTGGGAGAGCGATAGTCTCCGCCTCCAGCTGTAACGCCCGTGCACCCGACCCCGCAGCGATACCTTAGCAGTGTAGAGAGAACGGACTCTTAAAACTGCATTGTAATAAAACATGTCGTAAAGTATCTAAAGATTTATAATTATAATCAGGATAATCGCTTAATTTATCTCGAATAATGTCTAAAGTAGGAACCTTATTTCTTTATACATATTATAAATTGTGCGCCGTATTACATCTTTGGTAAAATCGTCAATATTCTTTAATTTTGTATGTTTCCGTTTCCTCTTTGTACCATGATTAATAACGTCTCCTTCTTTAATTACCCTATAAATTGTTGTTTTTGATATCTTAGTTAATTCGCTAATCCGTTTCCTAATTTCTTTATCACATTGTTCACTGTTTTCTCTTTTCAAACATGCATATATATTTAAAATAATACGTTGACTTTGTACGTGTAAATCTTTGTTTTTAAACTCTTGAGTTGGTTTCGACGCTTTAGACAAAGACCGGTTCGTTATTTTGTTATCCTCCGTTTCAAAGGGTCTTCAGAAAGCCTTGCAAAATTATTAAATAGACATAATATTTATTTTAATAACTATTACCCTTTACTGGTTACGATAAGAACAAATAATAATATTAACTAATAATTAATAATACGTATTATACCAACAATAAATATACCACGCCAAGCACTGCTCTCCAAGGCACTGACAAAGCCAAGTGAACCGCGTTTGACACCAAACTAATTATAGAATACCATGCAAAAAATTAATTACGACCTAGTGGACCAATACAGGTTTGCTTTGACGACCAGCGCGTCGCCGTCGATTCCACATCAGGCGGACTGGTCTACCAATACCGGACTCGCCCAATGACTATTCGAGTATAAATTACGAGACACATCATGGCTAAAGCATAGGAAGAAATTTCAAGAGATGTGCAGACGGTCCTGTGCTTTAAGATTCACAGGTTCCAATTGATATCGTAACAACTATGTATAATAATACTTACCTCGTCGCCATCTAGCATTTTTGTTCCTAATAGCACACAGTTTGTGACGATAACTGCAATTTTTACTGTATCGAATATAGGGTTTATTCAAGAAGTGAAGACTCCGTATTAAAAAAGTGAGGCATTTTATGGGTCACGTAAAGGCGGTGCTGATGTAAGTAAGTAGAGCATGAGAAAGAAATGGCAATGTTTATACAAGGTGTCCCATTTAAAAAAATATATTTGGAACAAAAGTTGTCAGGTTTCGGGAGAATCAAATTACCGTGACCTTGAAATTAACCTTAAAGTCAATTATCAAAGTCATTTCAAGGTCAGCCTTGATTTTTTAAATGGAAACCCATATTTTTATTACAGGAAACCCTTTCAAGAAAAATGTTTCATACAAAAGTTACGTCATCTTTTCCCGCAGAATACGAAACTGTAATAAAATATAGGTAGACCTTCAAATTATCTTGATAATTGACTTTAAGGTTAATTTTCACGGTAATTTCATCTACCCTTAAACCTGAAGTTGGAAATATTTTTCACCATCCTTCTTATTTCTTGAGATATTAGCCTGAGAATTAAAATGGAACAGTAAAAATATAACGCACTATAAAGCATTAAAAAAAGTTTCATAGAAAAGTTACGTATTTTTTGCAATAAAAAATATGAGTTTTCATTTAAATATCAAAGTTGATCTTGAAATGACCTTGATAATTGACTTCAAGGTCAAATTCTAGATCCCCATAATTTGACCCCCTCGAAACCAGATAACTTTTGCTCGAAATATTTTTTTATAAAAATCGAATTAAAAAAAATTATGCGGCCTGGTACATTAAAATGGGACACCTTGTACAAACGTAACTTTTATTTTTTACTAATTTCTTAATAAATATTAAGTAAGTCTTTCCGCTTATCTATCAACGTCTGACGTTGTAAGCGCAACTTCGTTACTAGGCTTCGTTACTAGGCTCCCCGCGGCTCATAAGTGTCTTCACTCCTTGTCTACGCTCCATAGTACCGAAGTTCAACTTTCAGGTCTGTTTTCAACACGGTTTATAGCTAGCTCTAATCTGTGCAGGTTCCCCTCCTTGCCTCCTTTGAGGGATAGTAAGACGTCGAGATGGGCCTTCTTCAAGATCCAGTCTGTTCGAGAGACAACTTAAAAAGTGCGCTTGAAGATACTAATAGTTAATACAATAATGAAGTCTTAATTTATCAATATTATTCAATATGAATCTTGTTAGACAATAATGGAAACTCTTATTAATTGTGCTACGTTGATGATTAATAAAATTTTTTAAAAGTGTATTATGCACGCTTTATTTCTATTCCTTTCATGAGAGTTATCATTCTTCAGTTCTTTAAAGTTGATGCAAATCCGGATAAAAATATCAAAATTGTGGGTTAAACAAGTTAAGAATTTCAAACCAAACAGATGGCGCCACTTATACGTTACCGGCACAAGTTGTCCTTAAAATCATAGGATCATCCAAGAGAAATTTTAATATTTAGTAACTCTTTTGTTAAAGGGAGAGTAGGCGTCCATTTTATTTATAATAAAATAGTGCATCATTCTTCAGTGCAAGTTTAGAGTTACTGCAAATCAGTATAAAAATGTCAAAAGTATGGATTTGACAAGCTAAAAATTTCAAATGTTCGCTAAAATTTCAGTAAAAATTAAAAATGTATAGTAAATTTTTAACCAAACAGATGGCGCCACTTATATGTCACCGGCACAAATTGTCCTTAAAATCATAGGACCGTCCGAGAGAAATTTTAATATTTAGTAACTCGTTTGCTAAAGGGGGCGTAGGCGTCCATTTTATTTAAAATAAAATAGTGCATCCATTCTTGCAAGTTTAGAGTTACTGCAAATCAGTATTAAAAATATCAAAAGTATGAGTTAGATGAGCTAAAAATTTCAAATGTTCGTTAAAATATTAGAGAAAAATAAAAATTTTGTAGTAATTTTTTAATCCGAACAGATGGCGCCACTTATATGTCACCGGCACAAGTTGCCCTTAAAATTATAGGACCATCCGAAAGGAATTTTAATATTCAGTAGTGATGGGCATAATCGACCATTTTTGATAATCGAGTTATCGGTACTCGAGTACTTCTAATAATCGAGTGATCACTCGAGATACGAGTGGGGTTGCCAGATCTATTTCATGACAGACCCGGAGAAATTGATGTCCAAAAAAAAAAAAAAAAGGTCTTTAGAAGAAGTCAAATCGTTTATGAGGAAATCGATCTCTAAAAAAAAAAAGGTTTTTAGAAAATTTTGAAGTCCAAACCCGGAGACCTGGCAAGCCTAGATACGAGATATTGGTGGTAATTTTGATGTCATCACCGCACACATACGCTTTCACTCCTGTATTAGTCATATATTATATTATTTCGTTGCTCCCTGAGTCCCTGCTGTTAGAGTATTTTGCTTACTGACTGTTGCGATCGCTGGGCTGCTCGGACACTTGGATTCTGCGACTGCGCTTTAGGTCTGTCTCGAATCGTGACGACGTTCGAGTGCTCCAATCTCCAATATTTAAAAATTCAAATGAATCAGAACTGCGCTGTTATAGTATATTTATATTTTATTTTTAATATTTTATTGCAAATTACCTACGTTTTTTATTGTTTCTGTTGTTATTTCACGATGGAGGTAAATAATTTTTATTATATTAAGCCTATGCATCATAAGTACGAATAACATATAATTATATTTCAGACTACGGGAAAATATATCACCAAAACGGGAAAAATTTCAGTTGTTTGGAAATTTTTTAAAAAATCTTCAGATAATAAGACTGTGACTTGTAAATACTGTAAGAAAACATTAGGATTTTATGGGAATACGACTAATTTAAGACAGCACGTGATCAAAATTCACCCCGTGCAGTTTCGTCAAGCAGATGTAAATAACTTGGAAACTTCTAAATCAGATACTGTTGAATTGACACCCGGAACTGCAGAAACAAGTACATCAGGTATTTCGCAATCTGTTATTGTCGAACCCACACCCGGTACATCAGGTATTTCACAAACTATTAATAACAGAGGACAATTAAAAAGTAATGTTCCTGCTAATACGGCAATTAAATCTAATAGTAAATTGAGACAGTTACGACTAAGCAAAGTTAATATTGAACTATCAAATTGGGAAAAAGATGCAATCGACAAATGTGTTGTAAAAATGATAGTTACCGATTTCCAGCCACTCTCACTTGTTGAAAATTCGGGATTTCTGGAATTCACGCGAAAACTGCATCCATCATACTCGCTACCCAGCAGAAAAACTTTATCAACCGTATTATTGCCGCGAATGTATTCAGACATAAAAACAAAACTTATAGCAATGTTAAATGCTATTGAAAATGTCGCCATCACAACAGATATCTGGACATCAGACAGCAATAAAGCATATATTACTGTAACATGTCACTTTATTTATAACAATAAATTATTTTCAACCGTTTTGGCAACCAGAGAAATATTAGAAGCGCATACAGGAGCTAATATTGCTGCCGTTTTATTAGCTATATTTCAAGATTGGCAAATTGAAAACAAAATTGTTACCATCGTTTCAGATAATGGAGCTAACATAAAAAATGCAGTTAATGAGCATCTAAAAAAGTACCATCATCCATGTACAGCTCACACACTTAATTTATGTGTACAAGATGCCATAAAAGCTAACGAACCACTTTCTAATATATTAAAAAAATGTAGATCGCTTGTAGCTCATTTCAAACATAGTGTTTTTGCATCTGAAAAATTAAAAAATTGTCAAATAAGTATGGGTCTTCCAATTTTAAAAGTTAAGCAAGATGTCGTAACCCGATGGAATTCGGCCCTTATTATGATGGACCGATTACAAAAAATAAAAGGTCCACTATCGGTAACTGTCACCAATCTGCCTCATGCTCCACAATTTTTAAATGCTCTCGAATGGAAAATAATAGACGATTGTGTAACAATTCTAAAGCCCCTTGAAACAATGACAAAAGAATTGTCTGGAGAAAAATATCCAACAATGTCATTGATAATCCCATTGGTCAGAGGGCTACAACATAAAATAAATAATTTGAATCCGCAAACAGAAACGGGTGTTAACCTGCGATCCAATTTAATTGAAATAATTAGTAGAAGACTGGGGATATTAGAAACAAACAAAATAGTAGCAAAAACTACTTTTATAGACCCGAGACTAAAAAAAAACTGCTTTTGGGTTAATGGAAAATGCTAAAAACACCCAAAAATGGATTACAGATGAAGTGTCAAACATTATAGATAATAGTAACAACAGCGATGTTCCTGATGTAACTTTATTATCTACACCAAAAGATGATCAAGATTCTCTTTGGACTCACTTTGAGGATAAACTTGTTCAAGTACAAAGTACAGCGACTTCTAATACTACAGGAACTTTATTGGTACGGCAATATATAGAAATGCCACATGTAAAAAGACAAAACGATCCCCTTGAGTTTTGGAAATTACATAAAAGTACATTGCCTGAACTATATAAATTACATGTTAAATATTCTTGTATACCTGCTACGTCGGTTCCATCCGAAAGAGTATTTTCTAAAGCAGGGCAGTTGACAAATATGCGCAGAAACAGACTGCTGCCAAAAAACTTGGACCAAATAATTTTTCTAAATAGTTATTTTAGCAGCCCCGAATTTTGAAATATGCATGTATAAAGTTACATTTTATTTTGTTTGTTACTCGTTTTGAAAGATTTTTATTTTTTTTACAATAAATAATTATAGTGTTATAGTAACACAAGGATTTTTATTAATTTAGTCTTTTCAACTGCACGCTAAATTTAAAATTAGATTTACACATCACAAGTCTTGTGGTCTTGTGAAGACTAACAACAGCTGATCGAAAATGGAGCAATAGACATTCATTATCTTTTTTCTTTTCTCGTTCGTTCTTTCATCATTTTATTGTTTCTTTCCATTTGATTAGCGACATGCTCAGCAATGAGTAATACGTCACAAGTAATTTACTCGTAATTTTTTCAAAAATGTCAAAACGATTTCTGACAAATTATCTTTTATCGGGTAAATTCCCAATAAAAAAAGGAACGCCCCTTTCTTTTATTCTTGATTTCGGAATCATAACGCGTTACGATCCGATGGAAACCAATCAGGTTGATAGATTTCGAATCGCAACGCGTTATTATTCTGAAATCATGAATAAAAGAAAAGAGCTCAGGATTGCGCAGCCGCAATGTAATAATCACTCGAGTGGTGCAAATGAACATCTCGAGATATCTCGAGTGGTCTCAATAATCGAGTACCACTCGATTTTTCACTCGAGATCTCCCATCACTACCGAGTAGTATTTCTGTCTGGCAGTTATTGCAGAGCGGACGCGTATTCAGCAGCGACTTCAAGTGTTCAGCAGTCTAGGCTCTAGGCATTGACTTGTGTGATTATCTTCAATTATTATTTTAACGACAGTTGTTTTATATCTTCCAGTGCAACCTCAGCTTGTGGTAAGGAAAATATTTCTATATCATTAAGCTTAGTAATTAATAAATGATTATTTATTTCATTGTCAATTGTAACTTTATTGTACCTGTATATGTAGGTCGCTTATGTAAAAGCCAATAACGAGCACCGAAACGCTTTCTTCTCGTTATTGATTGAACTGACGGTGCGTGGTTCTTAGCCACAGATGGCCCAGTTGACAAACTCTTGCCTTAGTAACTGTACCCTCTTTCAGTTCACACATTATGTTCTCGAATGTTCTTTTCTAGGAACGGAAGTGCATACTATCCGTTCTAAGAAAGGCCAGGTAGACTCTTTTGTTAAGATGCAGGTAGATCCATGATCCATCTTCATTGTGTATTTGAAAATAGATGATTTCTGGGTATATTTTTTATTATTTTCATGAACCTGCTGTATAATTTACAGCTTATCAGAATATTTGTAAAAAAACTAATCAAAAAATGAAAAATATTTTCAAGATAATACTTGTTTTAACCATAATTAATAATGAATGAGTTTTCGATGAAGCAGAGTGTAAGAAAAGGGTATAAACACTCTTAGATGCATAAAACCGCAGAGATAAACATTTGTATATCTTTGATTTAGTGTTCTTAAAATAGAATATATTGGATTCTTAAAATAGTACACCACCTCCTCTAAGAATCTGACTGTTTTAACATTCTCAATAGGTATTTATCGATTTCCTGTCTTCGGTGGAAGTTCAGCCATTTTACGTCTTCAGAGATATTCCAGCCATTTTGCTTTAGCGTAAAATTATAGTTAGCAGTATTTAAACATGATTTCAGTACCTCATCAGATTTTTTTTTATCTAAAATTGTTTTACTGAAGTTTTAGTTAGCTATCCTTAATCTTTTATTTATTTGTTTTTTTAATACCTTCACATTTCATGCTGATATATGGTTTCAATTTTGAACATCATTAAAAACAGATCGTGTATTATTTACCGCATATTTCCTAAAATAAAATATTTCCGCTCCCTATATCTTAAAAACCGTAAATTTTTGGACATATGTGTATACCACATTTTTTTGTTAGAATGGACTGTTAGCAATTTGTCTTTTTAAATACTTTAGATTACTTCGAAAACACCCTAAATACAGGGTGAAACAGTTTTATCTTGATAGCTTCGGTACCAGGTAGAAAGAGTTAAAATGATTTGATTTCTTTATATGAACGTATGCTGAAAATTCCGTTTCCAAGATAGCGGGTGATCAAATTATACCAAGAAAAAAAATATTTATTCAATTAACTTTAAAACTGTTTAAACCAGACTGTTTGGTTAGTATACATCTTTATACAGGGTGATTCATTAACAATGGGAAAATCGAAAGCTGAAGATACTATACGTGAAATGGTGACCATTGGCGCAAACATGCCTTATCCGAAAGTTGATAGTTTCGGAAATACAGGGTGTTGAAAGTTAACATTTTAAATCGCTTTTTTGCGAATATTCAAGACTTCAATCCTCTTGATTTTTATATTTGGTCTCGAATGAAAGATATAGTTTACAAAGAATCTATTGAGTCGCGTGGAGAGTTGTGGCAAAGAATACAACTCTGACGCTCTGAACTGAACAACTTTGAATGAAGTCTGACGCAATCCCAATATGTTGTTTCAAACTCGAGATCTCTCAGAAAAAGTTGTGTAAAATGTATCAGTGTCAACAGTGGATTCTCCAAACAATTACTTTAAATCATTATTACGTATTTCATTTGTTTTGTTGTTAATTGTTGTAATAACATGAAGAAACACTTGGTTTGTTTCGCTTTTAATTTCTCGTATTATCAGAACATAGTGTTCGTTAAATCGATTTTTCTCGAAAACGGATGAAGATACCGAAATGAAACAAGAGTACATAATTAATGAAAAAATAATTGCTCTTTCAGGTTTTGAATCAAGTTTCATGTTAGACATACGGGGTAAAAAGTTATTAACTAAATTATCGGTAAAATTGGTCGTAAGTGGCGCCCTCTATGAGCAACGTTAAAATTGCAACACACATCTTATTCGTTGCTTAAAAAAATATAGTTTCACTAATTTTCAAGTTCCTAGTCTACATATTTTCAGAATAATCGCAAAAAAAACCGATTTAAAATTGTAACTTTCAACACCCTGTATTTACGAATAAACTATCAACTTTCGGATAAAGCACGTTGTTAATTGATCACCCTGTATATTTGACTGTAGAGTAGAAATGGCACAGGGTGCTACTTTTTGAGATACCCACCACCCCTTGATCACCAATTAACGTTTTTACAGATTTGTTTGTCTCTTGTGAAATTTTAATATGGTTTTCGAATTCTACATCTTTCGAACTGATTGGACTGAAATACAGAATGATCAAGAAGTTCGATTTTACATTTGGAGTATTCTATACATAAAAATGAGAAAAAAAAATGGGTCTGCTTAAAAATCGTCTCAAAAATTTAATTTATATTCTGCCCCTCTACCATTTTAAGAAATATGTTCATTTACACCCTCTTTCTTATTTTTATACTTATACGTATATCTATATGAATAAAAGAAAATTCGCGCATTTAAAAATGCCGCAGATATACGTAAAAAATGTTTCAGGGTGGTAAAAGGATGGCAATCTCAAAAAAATGACACCCCCTTGTGTCATCTTCTTAGATTGGTACTCTTATAACAAATCGCACTCAAATAAAAAATATATAAAGATGTCTCTCATCACTCAAACCGATTCAGTTATTTAAAAAAATATTTGTTCGTCGTACAACATAAACACATCTTGAAACTGTTGAGTGAATTTATTTTCATCTGTCTAACTGATCGAGATAAAAACTGTTGCAACTATACAGGGTGTCACAAAGCGAATGGGCTATAGGTACTGCAAGTGTATAGCTTCCTTTGAAAAGTAAGACCTTCAAAAAGTTATATTGCCGTATATTTGACCTACTCTAGTCTAATTAAACTTAATTTTTTTGGCTAAAGTTGCTGCTGAATCAAACGTGCGTTGACCTAATAAAATAAAAAAATGTTTATATTATCTTAGCTGCAAATTTAGCAAAAGCGTAAAATGTAACTGTATATCGGCAATTGGTCGGCAGCAATCAAAATGTTTTTTAAACAATGACAAAGAGATAAAAAAAATAAATATCTAGAAAAATAATGAAAATCCCAAACCTGGGACCTAAAACGGAAGAGTCCACAAGGATTACTAAGATATTATAAAATATAGTTTAATAACAGAAACGTATCGAAACAGGAGTTGATAAGTACGTGAAAAATTTTAGTCACCTTATTCACGTAAATAAACAAAGATAAGCTATTTAGCAGACTAAATATTGATCGTAGGGTGTGCTATAAAATGCTTTCCGCATATTTACCAGTGATAAAAAATATCATTTATATCGTCTTATCGCCGTGAACCGTGAAAATTCTAGAATTATCCAGTACAAATAAATTATGTCCTTTGTATGTACCTACCTATTGATTACAAAACATTTAGGTAGCGAAAACATTGGGGATCGGAAAAAGTTTGTAATTATTAAATACTATACAATGTTTACGCATATGATGAATGGTCGATATATACAGGATAAAGAGGGATAATCCCCCTCGATCCCAAATCATTGAGGCCAATTTGTAGCCATGGAATAATGGCGCGGTTGATATATAAACACAGACATTTCTTACATCGAAACAAAACCGCAGGAATAAAAAAATCTATTTGTATTATGAACAGTCTGCTAAAGCCGTATTAAGTGATATTACATTGACCTCTCATCTTTGTAAATAAACGAAACGTAATGTTGAGCTAAAAATAGAACCCAGGTTTATTTTTGGCAACATATTTATTGTACCTTATGACTTGTTTTATTAATTTTAAAATGAAACTTGGATTCGTTATCTAGACACTGTAATTTCCTTGCAGTGGACTTTGAACAGAGTAAATACGAATTGAACTTTGTTACCATTTTATTATTAATCTACGTATTTTACAGAATCAGATGAATATCATTTTTTTTTCAAATGACTACATGAATCATTTTATTTAACAGTTCCTTAAACGGATAATAAGGTATTTAGATAATAGGGAAATGACAACTTTTCTATGCATTTGCATATAAGTATTTTATTGATTTTTAACTTAGTTGCGGTAGTAACAATTTTTTCTGACTTTGAATATAAATTATAGGAATTTTTTCTTGTTTAGTAGATCGATTACTGGCTTGTGAGGTAATTAAGTGAAAACCAACATTTATTATCAAGAAACACCGAGGTTTCATGTCCAAATGTTATGATATTTGAACATATAGTGTCCTAAAATTCATACAATACAGGTTTTTAATTAAAAATTGTAAATGTAAATGCACATACACACTCTTGTCAAAATTTCCCGTGACCCTTTTGCATAAATTCGGCCGAATTTCGTTGATACAATGCACAATTTACTCCTTCAATGCGTTAGTGATCGTGGGCTTGTTGGCATAAACCTTCGATTTAAAAAAAAATCCAAAGAAAAAGTCCAACGGGGCTAAATCGTGTGATCTGGGTGGCAGTACTGATCACCAAAACGGGAAATGGCACGACCAGGAAATAACTCATGCAGTAATTGAATTGTTTCTCGGACTGTATGGCATGTGGCACCGTCATGTTGAAACCACAAGTTGTCTACATCCATATCTTGCAATTTAGGCATAAAAAATTGGATTATCATGTCGCAATAGCGAGCACCATTAACTGCTATTGCCTGACCATCCGCATTTGTAGAAGAATGATCTGATGAAGCCTCCAGCCCAAAATCCACAACAAATAATGACACGTTGCGTATGCATTTGTTTCCCAACAATCACTCGTGGATTTTCTGAACCTTAAATGCGATAATTTTGTCGATTAACGAAGCATCGGTGAACATGATTTTGTTCTAAAAATCAGCATCCTCTTGTTTCATAATTTACTCAACAAACTCTCTTCGCTCTGCGTGATCAGTAGGCGTCAGTTCTTGAGTCAATTGAACTTTGTAAGCATGAAGACGTAAATCTTATGAGAATATATGCTGTAAGGACGGCCAGTGTTTAAAATTAGTAATTGATCCAGTTTTCCTGAATTTTTCAAAAAATCCCTTCACAGTTGATGAAATTAAGTCACTATTCCGACTATATTTTGTACGAAAATGGCTGTAATCCAAATCTTACGTGAATTTTGAGACACCCAATATATCCGTTTTAGTAGTCAGTAATCCACAATGTTAATTTGATAACTTGAATAATTTCAGGTTAATAGTGCAAATCCTAAATGTCACTGTAGACTTAAATACATTTTCCTTGAAAGTTGCACATTTACTGCAAGTAAATGAACAGGTGACAACGTATTTGATTTATGTAGTCTTGAACATTTTATTAAATCTTTTGGAATTGATCAATTTTCTCCTTTTATTCCACAAGATTTTTCATTTATGAAATAATTTTAGTAGCATATCGTCTATATAGTATAGGTAGATAGAGACAAGAGTTAAAAAATATACTAACAGTTTTACATTCACTAATATTTTGAAACTGTGCACAATCGAAAATAAGTAAAAATAAGTTGTCTCGAATGACCACTGGCCTCATTTATTTTAAAACAATGAGCAGTAATCAGTGTTCAAGGATATGCAATGTAGGACATCTGCAAATATTAGCAATTAATGATAAGACTGGTTGTCTCGATTGCTTAATATTATTTTTTCTATAAAAATGAAAAAAATTAAATATCGTGCACTGATGTAATGGATATTCCCCAGTTCAGTATTTTTTATTTGTTCGACTTTCATTTATTATTTCGTGGATTGCATTTAAAATTATGAAGGTCAAGAATAAATCGATCAATTTCGGTATATTTCGTACAGATTTTGCGTAATCCTGCAGGTTTTTTACAAAATCAAGTTAATGTTCCAAATCGACATGTGAAAAAGCATCACTTATACAAATAATTCATTTTCATATTAAAGTGTAAACGGTAAAATGAAAATTTAAAAGTCAGAAATATTCTATTTCATTGATCTTTAAACTCCAATTAAAAATTATTGATTTAATTTTATAGGGAGCACAAATGCAACTAGATAAATATTGAGGTAAAAATATGATAATAAGCCTGTTACTGAAGACACATATTGAACTGAAATTTTATATATGTTGTGTTTCACGCCAAATTTCTAAGTAGTCTGACTGATTATTTGACTAATATTATCTGGTGGCATTTGTGCCTTTTCATATAAATACACCCTGTATACATAATTAATTTTTATTATTCTTAAAACATTTCCCCTTCAGATAAGATGTCCTACACTACAACATAGTTATTTTTGTCTTTACCGCTTCACAAAAAACAGTTTCACAACTAATGAATGAAAAAAAAATTATAGTATATCAATTTTATTTCATATTTTTTTCACCAAATAATAAAGGTGTGTTAAACATTCATTTATTTTGTTACAGAAAATGTATACCCAAAACTTAGAAGAAGAAGCAAAACTTGATGCTATGCAACGTCATTGGCAAATCAGGCGTGGAACAATATCATCTACATCTTTCTTTGAAGAAGTAAATGAAACTGAGGATCTTTTGGTGCCATTCCAAGTATGTTAACTAATAAAATGTAAAAAAAGGAATAACTATATTTCTTTTGAAAAATAGCAATAAACACTATTAAATGTATGCTTTTATTTCAGAATGCTCGTACTTCGTCCCAAAGGGGATCCTGTGTTGCTCCTCCTCAAACCCCAACATGCGAAGGAGAAAGTGAAGTCGAATACAGGGATCTCCAAGTATGTATAAGTCCGAATTATTTTTGCTAAACAGCTCTGCAACAGATACACCCATTTCAGTATCTCAAGATGTAATTTAAAATAACCTCACTTATTTTTAAACTTGTTTGCCAAGTTCTCTTGCATGTCAATGCATAGGTTGCATTTTGGACAATTGCCAACAAATGTTTTATCATGCGCGGAACACATTTTTTTTAAAAAATTAGCCACGCATTTTTATGCATTTTAATTTTAGTTTCATTAGAAAAAAAATTGGTAATAGACTAGGCGGTATCTGTTTTGGTTTGGGTGAAACGTATATCCACGGAGATTTTTGGCTTTTTGGCTTTCAAATAGCACTAGGAATTAAAATTTTTCTATGCACATAAAAAAAAAGTGGGCTTAACTTTTGGCTGCACAATATGTCAAAAAAATTCGAAAAATGTCATGTATTTCTTACTATACTATTTAATTATGTATATCTTTTCAAGAGTTGACTAGGCGAAAATGGAAGAGGAAAAAATGTTTGTAATTAAATTTTACAAAATATGACTAGTTACAAATCGAATGAATCATGGTCATGAAAAAATAGCCAAATATTGGGTTAAAAACATTATTTTTTAGGGATTTTTTTGGGGTCTTTCAGTTGGGTGTAGGACCTTCATACTTGGCTCAAGAAAAGTTCATGTTATGTAGAATCATCACACCAAATTTCATCAAAATCGGTTAGATAGATTTTGCATAATAATTTTGCAATCCAGATTTTGAAAAAAAAAAAATGCAAATTTTCAAAATTTTGGACATCGATACTTGAAAAATTTAATCACATATAGAAGGGCTCTCGAGCTTTCATACGCTTTTTGAAAAATTCGAATCCGTCAATTAGGAGAGCTCTGACGCTTGTTTAAACATTGGTCGAATTTTTGTGTTTATAAACAATTAGAATAACTGTGAATATTCAATCAATTCAAAATTTTTAAAACTGGTTTTAAAAGTTATTAGAAAGACGCTTCTTTAAAAAAAAACAGATCGGTTGGTCAATTAGTTACGTAGTTAAGCCGATCGAAGTTAACCGTCATTTACACTAAATGTACTGGGATATCTGGTCTAATTTTTCGAAAAATACCTTTGGTATTCCCAGTACTTACCAGGTCTAAGATTACAATACTTTTCTTCATTGGCAACCTACTTTAAAACAAATTGAAAGTTATTTATGCAAGCGAGAAATTCAAGAAAATGGTACTGGTGGTGGTGGTGGGGGAAGCAGAGAGCGCGGTCATTTCGGCCTGCTCGAAAGTCAATTGGCGAGTTCAAATTCTGCGACGCGCTTAAAAAATTTTTAATATATCGGCTTCTAGAGGTCCGATTTTGATGATTTTTTTTTAAATCGATGTCTTGCTATTTAAAAAAAAACAATTAGCGTATTTTCAAATGCCTATCTATCATTAATAATTCAGACGCACAAAAAAAAAGTTAAAAACACCAGAGACTAGCCCACCTATCCTTATGTATTTTGACGCGCTGAAACCGAATCCGGAGTCAAAGTTGCTCCATCACCCTTCAATTTTTTTTTAAAACCACAAAAAACAACCCAAAAAAAACGAAAAACATCAAAATTCCCCAATTAAAAAAAAACTGGAGGGTGATGGAGCAATTTTGACTCCGGATTCGATTTTAACGCGTCAAAATACATAAGAATAGGTGGGTCTAGTCTCTGATGTTTTCAAGTTTTTTTTTGTGGGTCTGTGTAATTATTGGTCTTTCAACAGTCCGATAATTATTTATCTTTAAACTTCCTTTAATTATCAACTTTATTTTTTATTGTATCAAAGGTAAGTGCATAAACTTATATACTGTTTATGAAGGATCAAAAACAAATTTATTTAAATATTCTAAAATTGTTTAAACAACAATTATTTTCAAAATATGTCGAAAATTAGTAATTAATTAATTATTAATTTAATCATCATTTCTTTTGTGATTAAAGTATAATTAAAATATTATTTACTGTTTAAAATATAAGCAAATGAGAAATTAACTCATTATATTACAAAAATACAAAATTATAGTACAAAAATTCGACCAATGTTTAAACAAGCGCCAGAGCTCTCCTAATTGACGGATTCGAATTTTTCAAAAAGC